TTGGCCTTAGACCGAACTCGGGCCAGAACTGAAGAAATAGAGTAGACAAACGTTTTAGAAATAATCCCACTACTCTTGGGCACTCCTAAGTATATACGAAGTTGTGCTATACCGTCTATAGTATATCATAATGTCTGTGGGTACGATGTTTAGAATCGTTTTCGTTGTTTCAGTGGCTGCTGTCCAAAGAAATTAGGCATTCGTAGAGCTATCCTGTGCACTTTTTGTAATTTGTAACTCTATAGAGGTGTATGGGTATAACCACGACGGTATATAGCCAGTGCAGAGGCCTCATCCATTACAAAAATTCCCTTAGGCAATGACCTGAATCGCACCCTGAAGGAGACCGGCATACTACTCATAAGCTGCGTCAGGAAGCAGCTCGCTATTCACGACCCAACAGTGATGGTGAGGGTTCGATTTCAGGAGAGTAAGAGGACGAGGTTAAATATGGAGGTGAAACCAATGAACCAATGAACCATATTCCCTTTATTAAAGCACGTAACCATTCTTAAATTCGTGGTATTGTTTTCAGTATCCATTTAATGCAATCGACGTTATCGGGACCTAGTGATTTACAAGATTTGAATGTCCATATAGACTAGACCACCCTACTGAAAAAGACTTCAGTCACTGACATTGACATGTGGCTCCTCCGGCTTAATGTTCGTTGCTCCCGGGAAGAGTGTGTTTAAATTATAAAATATAATATAATTAAGATATACGTGGGCTAGACCAATATGAAAATTTGTATATCCAATAAACTCATTATTTTGATTCCAAATTCCAAAAAATTTAAAAATACTTTTATTTAGGATAAGCTCGATTTTTGGAACAATTTTTAAATGGCTCCAGCTCACGTAAATCTAAATAGTTTAGCGATATGTTTTGGTGGAAGTCTTAAAATTTAAAGCATTTTATTATTCCGATGGTAAACCAAGTTTTTTTTTTTTGGTATGTAGAGTGATGCACACTAATGTACACAGATACCGACATATGTATGTCGGAAGATTCGCTTGTTTGTACAAACTTTGATGCAAAATATTTCAACTATTTTATTTGCTTTAGTTACATAAAATTCTCAAAAAGGGCACACAAACCAAAGCAGCAAAATAAGTTTGTATATTCTGGCACAAAGTTTATTTATAACATATGGAATTTTCACCACTACTGGTACTCGCCATGCTACGAGCATACGTACAGAAAGCCAATTTCCTGCCAACCATGTTACACCCACTTTCCCCCGCTTTTTCATACCCTAAAGCAATACATAAACGTATGTATATATGTAGTACACCTTCGATGGGCGCCAATAAATTTTTGTTCAAGGACGTTTTTAAAGCTACAGCAGCACAAGCACGTGTAACCATGACTATAACAAAAGCAACAAATACTGATATTAGTACATGTGGGAAGGTATTCGTATACTAACTATGTACATACGTATGCAGGTTGTTGTACAAGCAGCGACCCAGCAAAGGGAAATGTAAACGAAACATGGAAATAAAATAAAAATTATATTTTATACAGGCATTTTTGCTGGTCATGTCACACACAAATTTCATACCTAAGTAAACGCTTTAAAGCTTAGAGGTAAATATTAGAGCTGGTACTAGCCGCTTATTCGGATATCCGGATATTATTCGTTCGTATATTCGTGTATACAGGTAGTTTACGGTTAACATCCGTTCTCTTTAGTTATACGGTTAATTTCCAGAGATTCGGTGTTTTTTAATCAAATATTCGAATAGTCGATTTATCCGCAAATTAAAAATCCGTATAGAACTCCCAGCATTAGTAAATATATATAAATTAGGATGCACCATTCTCCGTACAAAACAAAATCGCTACTATTTTCCATCGGAATTATAAAATTTCCGCCAAAATATTTCTAACAAATTTTAAGATCTATGTTTGCTGGACCCATTCGAAAATACCTTTAAAAATTTTGTAATTTATAAATAAAATAAGTTTTTAAAAAAAGTTTTTTTTTTCAAAAAAATCACTTCAGATTCACCGTGCGACAAAAACAAAAAAAAATAATAATTCGACACACGAAAGAATCGATATATTCACTATGGACCAAATATAGTAAAATTTCTTTTTTTAGTTTTTCACTCCGTCGCAGGATTTTTTTTTTCAAAGGAATTTGAAATTTTAAAGATATGATAGATTCAAAAAATTATTAAAAAAAAATCAGTGCAATGTACAATAACAATATGGGTACCAAATGAGTGATAAGATTCTGTAGAATTTAAAATCAGTACAGTTTTTGGGCTTACAAGGACGAATAGGTATTGAAAATGCGCTTTTAATAAATTTTATCCTTTTAAGTTAATAAAGTTTGGAGGCCGAAATTCGATGAGGAGGTCGAGCGTATATTAGTCCTCAAACAATAATTTTTTCAAAAAATTTTTTGCAAAAGTTTCAAGGATATTTAAGGACACAATTTTTAAAGAACATTTTCCATACCCATTCGTCCTTATGCACCAAAAAATGTATTCTGCTATAACTCTACAGAATTTTTTCTCATATATAATACCTTTACTGTTTTTTTAATAATTGTTTGAAATTATCACATTTTTTAAATTTCAAAGTCCTTTTAAAAAATTCTTTATGTCCAGAGAGACCAAATAAGTACGCAGTTTTACTATGATTTACCCGTAGTTTCGCGAATATATTCATTTTTTTTATACCCGAGCGCACTTGTGCACAAGGGTATTATAACTTTGTTCACATAACGGTTGTTTGTAACAGGCAAAACGAATCGAGATAGATATAGACAAATGTATACATAAATGATCATAATGAAAAGAGAAATCGATTAAGCGGTGACTGTCTGTCCGTCCGTCCGTCCGTCCGTCCGTCCGTCTGTCCGTCCGTCTGTGCACACGATAACTCGAGTAAAAATTGAGATATCTTAATGAAACTTGGTACGTGAACTTCGTTTGGGCGTAGGACGGATGGTATTGAAAATAGGCGAAATCGGACAATAACCACGCCTACCTCCCATATAACAGTAATTTTCAGAAATACGAAAACTGCGATATTTTAGTAACTACTGAAGATTATTCACCCAAAATGGACATTTACAATGAGTTTTAGACGAAAAATAAGAATATTTTAAAATTTTGGCAAATGGGCGTAGCCACGCCCACTTATGGTTACATGTGTATATCTTGGTAACCGCTGCACCTATTTCTTCCGAACTCGGCACAGTTGTTGGCCTTGATACATCATACTAAATGGCCGAAAATTTAACAAATCGGACAATAACCACGCCTACCTACCATATAACGGTAATTTTCTGAAATACGAAAACAGCGATATTTTAGTAACTACTGAAGATAATTCATTCAAAATTGATATTTACAATGAGTTTTAGACGAAAAATAAGAATATTTTAAAATTTTGGCAAATGGGCGTAGCCACGCCCACTTATGGTTACATGTGTATATCTTGGTAACCGCTCCACAAATTTCTTCCAAACTTGGCACAGTTGTTGGTCCTGGTACAGCATACCAAATGGCCGAAACTTTTTAAAATCGGACAATAACCACGCCCACATTCCATATAACGGTAATTTCGAGAAATACAAAATCTTTGATAAATCAGTAAATATCAAAGCTAATTTATTCAAAATTGATGGTTGCAACAATTCTTTACCAAGAAATACGTTTATGATAAAATTTTGGAAAATGGGCGTGGCACCGCCCACTTGTGATTACATATATGTATCTCGCTAACCGTTCTAGCAATTTGTACCAAACTCGGTATGATTATTGTGCTTGCCACATAAAAGCAAACCGTTGAAAATTGTTGAAATCGGTCTTAAATTACGGCCGCTTTTCATTTAACAATAAATTTCAGAAATGCTTGAAATTTCAATATGTCGAAATTTAAGGACGCTAATTTACTTAAAATGTATACACCCCGGCTTATCATGTAGCGGTAGCTTTCGGCAAGGTGGAAAACATATCTTTAATACTTGCGCCGGGTATTTAATGTTCGGCTCCGCCCGAACTTAGACTTTCTTACTTGTTAAGTGTTGAATGTCTGCACACAAAATTTTATCAACGGAGTCAAAATAATGCAGCAGGACGGCTTGCTCAGAAAATAAAGACGTCCGCTGCGGCGATGTGGTATACTTTATCTTCCGTTTTATTCAAGCGTCTTTTCTCTTGTTTGTCAATATTACTTAAAAACGTTTAAACATGCCGCTTATGGTCTAGACACACACACTCAGAAAAAATGCAGCTACAAATGTTTCTCTCAACACATGATTTATTTCGGCGGATGTTTTAAAATATAATACATTTTAGAATTGGTGATGCACCCTAATGTATGTACATATGTACATCTACGTGATAACGTTGACGACAATTTGTTTGCCAAGTTCAACAAACGCCAGCGCACCTTCGCACCTTCGGACTGACCTCTGACTTGTTGCAGCGCCCCAGTTGGTGCCGACTGGCTGGTTGCCGCTTGGCAATTTCGCTGCATTCGTTTGAGAAACTTTTTACAAGCTCGTAAATAAACTTGTAAAATTTTGCAGCTCAAATAACTAACGCATAAATAAGTAAAGTGCCTGAAGAAAATCGCTTGCAGTCACCTGGCTGGTTAACGTAATTGCTGCCGCATGCAGTAGCCAGTCACAGCTGGCGAAAGTGTTGGCTATTTGTCGTCGAGCAATTTTCACAATTTTCACAATTTTCAGTAAATTGCGACTTTATTGAATACTTTAACTCTGCGTAAAATTTCTGCAGAAACCCATTGCTTACTAAATTTATTTTCTCACACATTTTTCGCTGCGAGCTTCTAAATTTCACACTTAATTAGATACGGTATTCACATCTACTAGTATATGGACACACATGCAAACTTACAAATGTAATTTTCTACTAGTTATTTATTTATTTATTAATTTTCTTGCTGTTTATTGTTGTTTATTTTTTTTTCTAATTTCCTTGTTTTTCTCTCTCTCTCTTGGTTATTTGCAGATTGGATTTCAGTCGTAATTGCACACATTGCAATGCATCCCTGCTGGTCAATGACACGCTCGCCATGTCCGGTGATCAGCCGACCTGGTTGAAATTGTTACCGCCGCGCATGCAGACACCGGAGGTGATTCTCAATACATGGCTGCATTTGGGTGGCGCCCCACAGGCACCGATTGGTCTCATAATCGAACTTCCACCGGCTCAGAGTGGCACTGGTTTTACTGGCTGTTTACATTCGTTGCGGATAAATGAGCAAACGCGCGAGATATTTGGGTAAGTAATAATTGAATTAACTTTTTTTATTTTTATCAGCTCTTCGTTTGGTGTCAAACTGATGTAGCAGTGAGGGTAAAAAGCTTTACCTTTACCCTTTAACATTCTGTCAAGATCAAATAACTTGGAATTGCCTTTGATAAGCGCACTAATGGAACTTTCATGTAGATAAAGACTTAAAAATGGCTAATGTCTTCGTGAAAGCATTAGTAAAACTTCCTTACCTAGAAGGTAGAAATTTTCAGTTTTAATGAGCAGATATTTATTCATATATAAGACCGTTTTTTTGCCTAAGAGTTTGTAGTCTCGAGATGGTCAAAAATAAACCGTGATCAGAGCTTTAAAAGAATTTACAATTATCTTTGATAAATAATATTCAGATACACTCTGGCAGAACTATCACTTTTCTAATCCTGGTAGCCAAAAACACTGTAACACTATGCTGGCGGTCACTCACGAGCTTGAGGGCAACGAAGTCACCAATGAGCTGACGAGAGGCATATGTATGTATCTTCAACAGTTTTTGTGCGCTCTTCCACCAGACTTCCAGAGTGCTTTAATACTGGATAGCGCATAAAGTCGAACCTCTTCTAATTAAGAATTCTTATACTAAGACCCTTTTTCTTTGCCAATTTTCCAAAGTAGCGAACGGCTTGCGGTAAACGGATATGAAACTGGGAAACTAAGACAAAATATTGAAGTTCAGACGCCAGAAGATTACCAAAGAATTGTTTTCTTACAAAGCCGTAGGGGACGTAACTTCTTAATTTCTCTTTCCTTGGGCTACCAGAAACACAAGAAATTAATCCGGACTGAGAGCATATTTCCCCTTCGTGAGAAGTGGATATATTTCCTGGGCTTGTATGTCATTAGGGCGATGTTTATCTAGAAGCGCCCCGGGAAGAGCTCTCATTGTTTTGCGATTAGGCTAATCGTCAGCCTGCGTTGCTGATGAAGATGCAGAGAAACATACTAAACTGAGTTAATCGAGATCGCCCATGCCCTTCGCATAATTATAAAGTTAATGTAATAAGCCTCTGAGGCAAGTAATCACATTGAGGCTGCGCGTATCGTCTACAGTGATACCCTAAAAAATGTTATGCTTTTATCGACACTTAGATCTTACTGGTATTTTTCAATAAGAAATCTGCATCTTTTCGACAGGATCAAGTACTTCGGTCTGATCTTAAAAGCGGTAATGGGAACCTAATATTACGGAAAGAGTTAGGAATGCTAAGCGCGAGGGATTTCTTGGCTCTATTAGTATGGAGCTCTGGACTGGTGAAATTCACTAGAGAGACCTACAAAAGCCTAGCAAGGTCAATGCTTGAGCACTCTAAAATTCTTGAAAGCTTGGTCGTTTCGTTTTTTTTTCTGTACACAGATTTCGTGAAACGATTGATGGAAGAGTTCTTTTAGCATAATTTTTAGGATTCAAGACGTCTGTAGAGTGTTTCAAGGTTAAATGGCTGACAAAAAGTAACGCGTCAAAAGTGGAAGTTGTCTCCCTACTCTGATAGCCCAGTAGCAGTTACGGACGTTAGCTCGCTGATGGTGCGCTCAAAACTGGTTAGGTAGTGTCTAACCGCACTTTCGATTCCGCCGCAATATTTTACACTGCATGGAAAATGCGTGGCTGAGGAGTTGAAAAGAAAGGGTACTTTGATACGATATCACCCAAAAAGGAAGTTCACTCTTGGTCAGATGGCACTCATGTCATATCATGGAATGCTAGTTGTGACTGAAAGAAGCTTCTACACGAGGGTCAAAGTAATGCTTATTCTTGCCTTTAGGCTTTTTCATGGGACAAGTACGCTTGTAGGTTTGTCATTGCCTGCCGATAGGCCAGCGCTATTAGAAGAAATTCGCTCCAAATTAGAAGTTAGCTGGATCAGGGATCCGACCAAGGTTCTACGGAGCGGTAGTACGCAGCTCTAATCACTCAGTCACAGCGGTAGATACCGTGTAAACGTCTGCCCTTAAGCGCATGCGTCCCGCTACGTTTTGCATGATGCATAACTACGTCCAATAACCTTTCCATAGACTGTTGAAGAAACGATGTCAGGCTAATGGGCCAATAGTCCTCGGGTATACGTGACCACTTCTGCCCACTTTTAGCAGGAAAACTATCCTCACAGTCCTCCAAGCCGTTGGAACCTAGGTCAGCCTTAAACAGCCTTCAATGGTTTTGCACAGCCAGCCCCTGGTCTTCAGACGCGTTTTCGCCAAAGCCCACCACAGTCTTTCAAGGCCAAAAAAAATCTGCACTGAGTCAAATTTGTTAGAAATGAGTCTGGTAGCTCCGCTCATCGCAAAGCCATTCAATATTATGTGCGCCTTTCTGTCTGAAAATATAGACGGTAACAAGTCCCACACAATCCAAGGATTACAGAGTATTTCTAAACCCATAATTAATTTCTACAAAAGCACCCTTTGTCCTGCCTATGAGTGATGTGGCGCTCTTGCACTAACTTCGGCGTCCAAAATGAAGTGCATTAATAACAAAGCATTCATTTCCGCCAAACTTACAAAAAAAAATTGGCAGCTGATACTCGAGACCTTTCAAGCACGCTCATCTCATAATTACCGTGCCTTTGTAAGCAACTTTTTCCTTCGAATATTTCTCACAAAAATCAGCTCCACAAGTAAAAGCTGGCATTTTTAAGCATCAATGAATAGCACAAAAAAATTTCGTCAATAACTTTTCAAGCGACAAAGCGCACAAAACTGCAGCGTTTAATATTATTCACGTGCTTGGGTGCGCCAGTAGCGGCGGTAATGCGAACGCAAAAAAAAACAACAACTACAACAACAACAAAGCGAGTTCACTTACTTAGTTAAGCATATCTTGTAATTAATTTGTAAAGTTGAGTGGCAAAAGTTTTCGATAACTAAACTCATTGGTAGACTCGTCGCTGCTGCTGCACTCAGAAATTAATTTAACTTTTCAAAAATGTCAATTGTGTACCACTTGACCTCGGTGTGAGAGGAGGAGGAAGGAACACGAGTAGCTACGAAAAGTAGATGTACAATAGTGATGCCCTTTCAGGCACAATGAAGCAAACTGGCTCAGTGGCGCTTGGGTGTGCGTGTGCGTGCTTGTGCCTTCAAGTGCACTAATTTAAATGTCAATATTAACGGCAATGCAAGTGCATTAATATTTCAATAGCATACCTCTACCCCTCCTGCCATCCTACCTGCATATTGCACAGTCACGTGCGCTTCTCATTCACTGATGCTGTACGTATGTACATAGCTGACCCAACGACCAAGCGACGACCCATTAACTAACTCGCTGACGGCTATTCAGGACGACTGCACTGCGTACGCTTCGTGGCGCGCGCGTCACTTGCAATTACAATGGCCTCAGCTTGTGCGCTGGCCGAAAAGCGCTGCATAATAAAACATCATCTCCGTCACTGCCGCCACCACCACGCCTCTCGCCCTACCCTACCTACTATCCCACTCCCTCTATCTCCCAATCCACTCTATTTTCATCTTTTTAGTTTCCGCGCACTTTACGCTAAAGAATCGTTTCCATTTCCGTTTCGCTTCCGTTTGATGTGAAATTGTCATCCACACAGCGCATTTGCGAGTCCCCCGCCTGTTGGGTCGAGCGACCCGACGACGACCTCTCCAACGCCGCTCTGTAAAGTGTATTCTTTCAATATTGCTTGGACTTGTTGTTGTTGTCGTTGTCGCCGCCATCGATGCTGTTGTCACTGAAAACCGTTGAATCAGATTGCGCTCTACTTAAGTATGTACCTTTGCTGTATAACCAAATAAGGTGGGAGCGCGTCTTAGTAAGGGAAGTTACAAAAAGGTGCATAATTTCAGACCTATTCAAAGAGAAACGTGAATAAAAATACGGGTGAACTACGAGTATTTGAAGCACATACAGCGACTTTTCACTCTTTTGCATGGAAACACTTTAAAAGTTTCATTTTTATGAATAAACTAGCAGACCCGGCGAACTTCGTCCCGCCCAAAATTAATTTTTTGTATTGAAACATTTTGGTACAACATTTTCACCAACAGTTCACGTCCATGATTTTCAGTGACGCGTTTATCTTCTAATATTACGGTTTGGTGGTTGTCGGAAGGCATATTTCCATTACCATCTTAAATAACCTAGCAAAATTGTATATGCATACAAAGATACGTAATAGCTTCAGTACCGTTTGAAAGGTGCCACACCCCCCTTATAAAATAGCCGCAATTTTTTCTAAGAATATGGGAGTGATTTCTCTTATTTCCATACCATGTTCAAGTACTCTACCATGAACACTTCCAGAGATATGCAGTGTGAAATATTCGGTTTGCATGGGAGGTGCCACATCCCTTTTTCCAATAGGCCAAATTTTTCTTCATGACTATGTGATTGATTTTATATGTCTTGTACATACCAAGTTCCAGTACTCTACAATGAACACTTGCAGAGATATAAAGTGTGAAAAATTTGGTTTGTATGGGAGGTGCCACGCCCCCTTCACTTAGCGGTAGGAAACATACTTTACACCGTATTTTCATACCTACAAAATATACACAAAAAATTTCATTCAAATCGGTTAAGCCGTTTCGGAGGAGTTCGACCACAAACTCTGTGACACGATATTTTTATATATTAGATTTTTCATACAAAAATACCAAAAGATCTAAAAGAAAAAAATAGAGAAAATTTTTTTAGGATAGGGACACCCTAATCGCCAAATTCCAGTACTCTATCGTGAACACTGCCAGAGGTATGCAGTATGAAAAAATCGGTTTGTATGGGAGGTGCCACGCCTCCTTTTCCAATAACCACAATTTTTCTCCATGAGTATGCGATTGTTTTCATATATCTCCAAACCAGGTTCGAGTACTCTACCATGAACACTTCCAAAGTTAACCAAAATGAAAAATTAGATTTGTATGGGAGGTGCCCCGCCCCCTTTTACGATAACCATAATTTGTCTCCGTGCGTATGCGATTGCTTTCATATATCTCCATACCATGTTCGAATCCTCTTCCATGAACATTTTCCGGGATATGCAGTAAGGAAAATTCGGTTTGTATGGGAGGTGCCCCCTTTTCCAATAACCGCAATTTTTCTCCATGAGTATGCGATTGTTTTCGTATATCTCCATACCATTTTCGAGTACTCTACCATGAACACTTCCAGAGATTTGCAGTATGAAAAATTCGGTTTGTATGGGATGTGCCACGCCTCCTGCACCTTACGGAATGAAATATACTTTACATCCGATTCTCATACCAACCATATATGCACAAAAAATTTCATAATGATTGGTCAAGCCGTTTAGGAGGAGTTCGACCACTAACACCGTGACACGAGATTTTTATATATTAGATTTTTTTGTATAGGGATACCCTAATCACCAAGTTGCAGTGCTCTGTCGTGGACTCTGCCAGAGGTATGCAGTTTGAAAACTTAGGTTTGTATGGGAGATGGCAAGGGGCTTTTTTCCAATCGCCCCAATTTTTCTTCATGACTATGTGATTGATTTCATATACATACCTCCATACCATGTTCGAGTACTCTACCATGAACACTTTCAGAGATATGCAGTATAAAAAATTCGGTTTGTATGGGAAGTGCCACGCCTCCTTTTCCAATAACCACAATTTTTCTCCATGAGTATGCGATTGATTTCATATATCTCCATACCATGTTCGAGTACTCTACCAAGAACACTTTCAGAGATATGCAGTATGAAAAATTCGGTTGCATGGGAAGTGCCACTCCCCTTTTTCCAATAACCACAATTTTTCTCCATGAGTATGCCATTGGTTTGATATATCTGCATACCAAGTTAGAGTATTCTACCATGAACACTTCTAGAGATATGCGGTATGAAAAATTCGGTTTGTATGGGAGGTGCCACGCCCCCTGAACATAGCGGTATGAAATATACTTTACATCCGATTCTCATACCTACCAAATATACACAAAAAATTTCATAAAGATCGGTCCAGCCGTTTCGGAGGAGTTCGACCACTAACACCGTGACACGAGATTTTTATATATTAGATTTAGTACAAAATAAAACACTAATGTAGTTGAATGAACCCAGAGTCTCCCCTTTCCCACACAACTATTTTTTTGATATTCTTTTTATAATATGCCAGTTCATACTCGCGGGTTCAACCCGCATTTTCCACTGGTGTGGGAATAACCCCACATGTGTCTGCCTCATTTTTAGCTTGAAAATCCACTTTTCCATTGCCATCATAGCCCTCATGAGTAGGCACCCAGATTATGGAGACCCTATTTTGGGCGGGTAGGTTATTGAGTGCTCTATGGCACTCTACAAGCGTTATTGTTGAGAACGAGTAGATATCTGGAGCTTTGAGGACATATTGGCTGTCCGAAAATATTGTGTTTTATTCTGGCATATTGCATGTTTATTAAGATGTTGGGCGGTCTCCAGTATGGCAGTTAGTTTCGCTTTGAATAACGGTGCGTCTTTACTTACACCCGCACCTACACCGTAAAATGTTTTTGAACCATCGGCTTACCATTGCTGTGGATCATCATCATCATAAGCTACGTGGGGTTTCTCCTCCAATAGTTTCGAATGGGAAACAGGATCTTGTACCTCTTCATAAAGCTGAGGATGGGATCAATTTCATATGAGAACAGGGTTTTGACCATGGTTGCATCCTTTCTCTTCAAGATATCAAGGTGTCCAATAAGGTCGCCATGTTTAAATTTATATTTCCTGTGTACCATGAGTGCTTGCCTTGCTGCTTGAAGGGGTGTAAGATTGAGTAGAGCCTCCATACCTGCAGTGGGTATTGTTTCCATTGTCTCCGTTACTTATTCCAGAAGGTCATATGCCTAGTTATTTTACCTCTTTCCTTAGGGGAATCATAGTCCCATTTATGTTTAGATCTGGAAAGCATAGCTTTCTTTTCCTAGTCAAAAGGATGAATGTAGTTTTATTGGAATTTAAGGATAATCCCTATTTCCTACACTAATGATATGTTGTGTTTAAAGCGTCCAGCATCAAGTCCCTAATGGTGCTTTCATGCTTGCCGCTTATGATAATTGATATATTGCCAGCGTAGCCTATGGTTCGATATCCTTTCACATTGAGGACTTGAACTAGTTCATCCACCAGTAAAGACCACAACAGTGGAGATAACACTCCCCATTTTGGACAGCCTTTTACTTCAGTGATGCTGAGTTCTCCCGATCCTATGTTCGCCTTGATTGTCGTCTGAGTAAGCATATTGCCGATCCAATTACAATTTTGGGATAGTGCCACTCCTGTGGATTTGAACCTAGCATTGTCAAAAGCACCCTCTATGTCCATGAATGAACAGAGGGCAATACCCTTCGATGCAAAAGCTTTTTCTATTACACCTGCAAAAGAGTGAAGTGGTGTAATTGTTGGTTTTCCTTTTTTATAAGCGTATTGGTCCTTATGTAGTGGAGAGCTAGAGAGTATCTCCTCGCTTAGGTGCTGATCTAGTAGTTTTTCCAATGTTTTTTGCATGAAGGATGAAAGGCTAATTGGCCTGTAGGATTTTGGAGAATCTAGGCGTTTATTCTCTTAGCAAGTTCGTAAGATTACTCGTTTCTTAGTTTGTTGTAAAATCCCAATCCAGTAGCCAACCTCTGAATCAGAACCAAAGACAAAGGTTCTGGAGTATTCAAGATCTGGTTCCGATTGTACAAACCACTGTTCGCTGTCTAATCTGTCACACTTTCTGAGTAACTCAACTTTCTGTGCACAGGATTTAGGACCCATATCCGGCACTAAATTCCCACCCCTCCTGTGGGTTTTCACATTCCAGCGACTGGTATCCAGTCCGAAATTCTTGACATAAAAGGCACTCAGGACACCTGTCGTTTTCCGGGTACGTCCCTGAATCCAACAGATGGTCTAAGTAAGTTTTGGGAGTCCAACGCCTTCAATTCAGACAAATCCGAGTTTTTCCCAGAGGTTAAATGAGCTCACGCGCTTTGCGCATGTGATCTAAGAACTTTTAAGATGTGAAAGTCACAAAAGAATAATCCATTTGTGATTACGTAACCCCTTATCTTACTAGCGTCACCTCATTGCAAACAGAGCATCACTAACCAACTAGACAACTTATTGGACCACCATATTACTTTCATTTATGTGCGTGTATTGAGAAGCGAGGTAGCACATCTATTCCCATGATACAAATATACTTAAACGGTTTTGTGGGGCTGCGGGCTACGTATCAATTCCATTTCATCTAGCTGTTATAAAAAAATCTAATCTAGCGTACTTAAAAACCATAAGCTCCCATAATAATAGTAATTTTATCTTTCTGCCTTAGTGACGCTTTGGATGGCTTTGGCATTACTGAATGCGGCTCGTTGGCCTGCCTATCGAGTCCGTGTCGCAATGGCGCCGCATGTATTAAAATCGAAACCAACGAAGTGGACGAAAATGGCGAAAAAGCAGAGAAGTGGAAGTGTAAATGTCCCACCGGCTATATGGGCCCAACCTGTGAGATATCTGTCTGCGAAGATAATCCATGTCAGTATGGCGGCACTTGTGTACAATTCCCAGGCAGCGGCTACCTATGTCTGTGCCCGTTGGGTAAACATGGACACTACTGCGAACACAGTAAGTAGACAACAAAATGAAATTCACACAATCGCACGTAGATGTATGTACACTTTGTTACTCGAGTAAACATCCTCATCCATGTAACCCGTTACACTTTTGCAAGTGTTCGGCGAGTCAGTGTTCGTGCATACCACCATTTGGTAATGTTGTACTCTCGTCCATATGTACTCGTACTCGTACTCGTAGGTACATTTGAAAGGTACATCTTGGAATGCAGTGGACTAATCCAAATTGATCTATCCCAATCCCTGTGCAACTTTTTCCTTAATCAAATCCCATATCCGAACACAAGATTTTCCTCCCCGTACGGTTTCCCCTGCTACAATTAAAAATCTTACAGATCTCGAGGTTGCCTTGCCCTCGTTCTCGGGCAGCGTTAATGGCCTCTCATCGTTTGTCGCCTACACTGTGCCCATACCACTGGAATACTCAATCGAGTTAAGCTTCAAAATACTACCGCAAACGATGTCACAAATTTCACTACTCGCCTTTCTGGGCCAGACAGGATATCATGACGAAAAGAGCGATCATCTGGCAGTTAGCTTTATACAGGGTTACATTATGCTCACTTGGAATTTGGGCGGTGGTCCGCGCCGCATATTCACACAGAAACCGATCGATTTCCGGTTGGATGCGCCACGCGTACCCTACGAAATCAAAGTCGGCCGCATTGGCCGACAGGCCTGGCTCTCTGTGGATGGTAAATTTAATATCACAGGTCGTTCGCCGGGCAGTGTCAGCCGCATGGATGTTATGCCGATACTCTACTTGGGCGGACATGAAATGGCAAATTTCAATACACTGCCGCACGATTTGCCGCTACACTCAGGCTTCCAGGGTTGCATTTACGATGTGAACTTGAAGGTCGGCCAGGTGACGGTGCCGCTGCAGGAGACGCGTGGTGTGCGCGGACGTGGTGTGGGACAATGCGGTACCAGAGAATGCCACCGGCATGCGTGTCAACACGATGGCGCTTGCCTGCAACATGGCGCAACATTCACGTGAGTATTTGGAGGGGTTACAGCACAAAAGTGTATGTGAACAGACGCTTCCTCTTTTTAGTTGCATCTGCCAGGAGGGTTGGTATGGGCCACTTTGTGCTCAGCCCATCAACCCATGTGACTCGTTCAACAACAAATGCGCGGAGGGTTCGACCTGTGTGCCGCTCGTCAATGGTTACGAATGTGACTGTCCTGTGGGCAGAACTGGCAAAAATTGTGATGAAGGTAAGTAAGAAATCTGGAAGTGTAGATAACTCTATCTTACCCACAAATTTGTATCTTCCACAGATATTCGTTCGCTGAGCGATGTCTCACTAACCGGGCGCCGTTCTTATTTGTCCGTACGCTGGCCCTATCTCTACGACAGCTCTGATAAGATCGGCTCGAAACGTTCGCAAATTATCAGCTATCGCAATTTCACTAAAAACCTAATGCCACCGAAACCAATCGCTTCCTCCAATCAACACTTCGTCATGAAGCTACTCAACGAAGTTGAGAAGCAACGCAACTTTTCACCTGTACCACTCATGGGTTCAAAGACTTTCGAGGAGCATCATCGCGTACAATTCTTCTTTATCGAATTTCAATTGCGTCCACTCTCCGAACGCGGTCTTCTACTCTATTTCGGCACGCTGAATAATAATCTAGACAAGAAAGTCGGTTTTGTTTCGCTCTCCTTACAAGGTGGCGTAGTCGAATTCCGCATATCTGGACCAAGTAGCCACGTAACGGTGGTGCGTAGTGTGCGCATGCTCGCAATCGGCGAATGGCATAAGATTAAAATGGCGCAACGTGGCCGTTGGTTAACTCTATGGGTGGAGGGTAGCGCATCGTCTGCGTTGGCACCCTCTGCCGAGGTGCTCGTGGAACCCGATTCACTGCTCTACATTGGCGGTCTGAAAGATTTGTCCAAACTGCCACACAATGCCATTTCTGGCTTCCCAATACCATTCCGTGGCTGTGTACGCGGTCTGGTGGTGAGCGGTATGCGTATTGTGCTCAACGAAACAAATATTATTGGTTTGTAGCCAGCGAAGACGCTTAGTGTTTAGAGTTAGCCTGCTACTAGTGATCCCTTAATTTTCAGATTCACGCAATATTCGCGACTGTGATGGCACTGCTTGTGGTGGTGATTCCTGCGAGGCGGGGGGCCACTGTTGGCTCGATGAGAAGTTGCAACCTCATTGCATTTGTCCCGAATATGCGAAGGGTGATCGTTGCGAGTACTCGGAGAGCTGTAAACTGATACCTTGCAAGAACAATGGTCGTTGTTTGCGTAGCGGACGTTGTTCGTGTCCGAATGGCTGGGGTGGGTTCTACTGCGAAATAGGTGAGTACGATGAGAGAACATTAAATAGAGATTATTGAAGGAATGGATTGTAAAACTTCGAGAACTGCTGCTGGTTATCAAAAAACACGTTTTGAGTGCAGACTCATAGTTTAAATTTCACGAAGGCGCTTTCAGTTATACCCAGAGAGAGGACCTAAGTGCTTTACTGCCATTTTCCAAACTTCTAGCATTACAGTGCCTTAGTAGCCGCCTGGCGGTCCGAAAAATACTATGTTTGATCTTGAGCACTCCTCGCCGAAAGCAAAAACTTTAGACTGGAAAACAATTGTTGAATTTGGTAGCTGTGTAGACATTTTTGTATTTGAAGGTAACGCGAGAAAATGGGGATGACAATTTATTCTGATTCACCGCTATGCGATCTACGCACTAGTCTCATCATCAAAAACGGGCTCGATATTTTTCTTGAAATGAACGTCTTTGCTTTCGGAACCATCTAGACGTTGAGTTGTTATGGTCACATGGGTATAATGCCATTTTGATATTGCAGCGAATGGGAGGAAAGAAGGTATGGGGCATCCCTTTGCTATTGTTTATTATGGTTTAGACCAATCAATTTAGACATATTTAGGCTGCAGGCGGTCAAAGAAGCTCTTAACTGTCCATAAACGATATCACCGAACGAAATATCTTTGCTTTGAACTCTGCAGTCGTTTTGGAGAGTTATTTTGTTTCCTGATCTTACGGTGGATCGATACAATGTATTTTAGAATACTGCTTACCGTCAGACATGGCAAAAGTTGGGAGCGCTTACCGTCAATGGGATTTTCTTTTACCTGTCATATTTCTAAGGGTTGATTGCGACCGTACCGGCTATGAACTTTATAATACAAATCATAATTTAACCGTCAAAATCGCTTTCTATTTTTTCGATCGAATTTAACTGTAACTAAATAAATACTTGACAACTATTCACGCTTTCTCAAAAACTAATGAACTACCGACTGACTAATTCTTGGTAATAAAGATTTGATATGACTGATTGATTTAAGCGCGACAATATAAAAAATTCAAAATATCGCTAAAATAGAAAACGTGGATCTTTTATGATTGCAATTAAGATGGCGTGAAAACAATTGAGACGCCGCCACCGAACGTTTGACATTGAGGGTAAAAAGCACATGGCCTGTAAGTTCACAAATTACACAAATGAGATAGATATCGATGAATCAGCGCTGCATGTGGGCCATTAAACAACAAAAAAAAAAACGATTTTTTAAGAAACAAGTAAGAAAGTCTAAGTTCGGGCGGAGCCGAACATTAAATAC